TAATACCTATGCCCCTCCAACCCTCCCAAAAAAAAAAAAAAAATGAGGCAATATTTTCCAATTCATTTTATGAGGCCAATATTACTCTGATACCAAAACTTGGTAATCATAACACACACAAACATACACACACATGAACACACACACACACACACACACACACACACTCACTCACACTATGGACCAATATCACCCATGAACACAGATGTAAAAATTCTAAATATGATACTAGCAAACCAAATACAGCAGCATATTAAAAAGTTTATGCACCACGATCAAGTGGGTTTCATCCTAGGGGTGCATGGATAGTTCAACATATGCAAATCGATTACTGTGATATACCACATTAACAAATCAAAAAATAGGAATTGTATGATTATATCAATAGATGCAGAAACAGCCTTCGACAAGATGCAGCATTCTTTTATGATCAAAACATTTAACAAAGTCAGTATAGAAGGAAAGTACCTCAACATAATAGAGGCCATATATGACAAGCACTCAGCCAACATTATACTTAATGGTGAAAAACTAAAAACCTTCCCTCTGAGATCAGGAACAAGGCAAGGCTGTCCACTATTGCCACTGTTATTCAACATAACGTTGGAGGTCCCAGCAAGTGCAATCAGGCAAGAGAAAGACATAAAAAGCATCCAAATAGCAAATGAGGAAGTCGAACTGTCACTATTTGCAGATGACATGATTCTCTATATAGAAAACCTTAAAGACTCCACAAGAACACTACTAGACACAATAAGCAAATACAGTAAAGTTTCTGGATACAAAATCAATGTTCAAAAATCCATAGCCTTCCTATACTGTAATAATGAATTGTCAGAAAAAGAAGTGGAAAAATAATTCCTTTTGCAATTGCAACAAAAATAATAAAATACCTGGGAATAAATCTAATGAAATATGTGAAGGACCTATATAATGAAAATTATAATACCTTATTAAAAGAAATTGAAGAAGATACAAAGAAATAGAAAGATATTCCATGTTCTTGGATTGGAAGAATCAACATAGTTAAAATAACCTTATTACCTAAAGCATTATACGAATTTAATGCAATTTCCATCAAAATCTCATCGGCATTTTTTAAAGAAATAGAACAAAAAATCATCGGTTTTGTATGGAAGTAGAAAAGACCCCTAATTGCCAAAGCCATCCTGAAAATAAAGAACAAAGCTGGAGGCATCACTCTTCCCAACTTCAAATTATACTACAAAGTGACAATAGTCAAGATGGCATGTAATTGGCAGAAAAACAGACACACAGATCAGTGGAGCAGAATTGAGATTCCAGAAGTAAACTCATGTTTATACGGGCAAATATTTTTCAAAAGAAGAGCCAAAAACATACAGTGGAGAAAGGAAAGCCTCTTCAATCAATGGTGCTGGGGAAACTGGAAAGCCACCTGCAAAAGAATGAAACTAGACTATTGTCTATCACCACACACCAAAATTAACTCAAAATAGATTAAGGACTTGAATATAAGACCTGAAACAATAAAACAAATAGAAGAAACATAGAAACTAAAGTCAAGGACCTTAGACTTAAAGAAGATTTTATGAATTTGACCTCAAAGGCAAGGGAAGTTAAAGCAAAAATGAATGAATCAGACTACATCAAACTAAAAAGCTTCTTCCCAGCAAAAGAAACAGTCAACAAGGTAAAGAGATAACCATCCGAATGGGAAAAATATATTTACAACCAGTGCCTCCAATAAGGGCCTAATATCCAAAACATACAAAGAACTCATACAACTTAGTAACAAAAAGCAAACAATCCAATTAAAACAATCCAATTAAAAAATGGGCTGAGGACCTGATCAGACACTTCTCCCAAAAAGACTTACAAATGGCCAGCAAACATATGAAAAGATGCTGAACATCGTTAGCTATTAGGGAAATGTAAATCAAAACCACAATGAAATACCATTTCACACTTGATAGAATAGCTGTTATCAGCAGAACATGTAATGAGTGTTGGAGAGGATGTGGAGAAAAAGGAATCCTTATACACTGCTGGTAGGACTGCAAATTAGTACAGCCACTAAGGAAAACAGTATGGAAGTTAATAAAAAAAAACTAAGAATTCATCTACATTATGACACAGCAATTCCTGTACTTGGTATTTACCCCAAAGACTTGAAAACACTATCTGAAAAAATATTTGCGCACCGATGTTCATAGCAGCATTATTCATTGTGGCCAGGACATGGAAGACACCGAAGTGTCCTACAAAAGATGATTAGATAAAGAAGCGGTGGTACATACATACAATGCAATATTAGTCAGCCATAAGAAGAAATGAAATACTGCCATTTTTGCGACAACATGGATGGACCTTGAGATAGTCATTCTAAGTGATGTAAGCCAAAAATAAAAAGTTGAAAACCACATACCATTTATATGTGAGATATAAACCTAAAAGCAACAAACAAATAGGACAAAATACTAGTGTTTACCAGAAGGGAGAGGGGAGGGAGAGTTAGATGGGGTGAAAGGGGTCTAATATGTGGTAACTGAAAGAAATCTAACTATGGGCAGTGAACACACAATGCAATACATATATGCCTTACTGTTGAATTGTACATCTGAAACTTACTGGATTTCTTTAATCAATGTCACTACAATAAAAATAAATTTAAGAAGTAGAAAAGAAGAAAAATCAATTCAAAATCAAGTGCAATTACTTTGAATATCAAGATGGGTAAGAGGAAACCAAGGTACTCTAGAATTTGGCCACGTACAAACCTTCGATCTGGAACTTATAAGTCCATTCCTAATCTACCTTTTTCACCTCCTGTGACCATCTTGGCCTGCCACATACTATAAG